AAGGGAACTGTCGATATCCTTCCTGGCTGGTGTTGGTTTTTCATAGAGAGTGAGTACGAGAAAATTTTAATTTTTGACTCGGATAGTTCAGTTCATGAGGCTCATACCAATAATTTGTTCTCAGTATGCTGCACAACAGAGGTGATGTCAGCAGTTTGATTTTTTGTGTCTTTGCTGTGCTACGCAGTCAGTGAAATTCAGACCGATATTGATGCGTTAAAACTAGTCAAATTATATACATTTGCGTAGGTTTTTACAGAATTGCTGCGAGTTAATTAGGTTAGGCTGTTGAAGTTGTCGTTAGCTTTGCAAGTAAAAGCACATGTGTCAAATGCCTCAACTTATAATATTAATTGTCCTTTTAAAATTTGTTTTATAGTATTAATTTACTAACTACAACCACTGGCGAGATCCAGTTGTGGCTCTGGTGATAAATGCTTTTTTTTCAAGAATTTTCGTACTTCTCTACATTCCTTTTTTCCTTTTCCCAATCTTCATTTTTTAAAAGATTTTATTATTTCAACAAAATCATATAATTCCGCACAGACGGTTGAAGTTGAAGTACAATTTCGCATAAACAGTTCAAGTTTACGTAGCTTATTTCTTGATCATTTTGAGCCATAAGAAAATTTAATCCCGTTAACGTACAAATGTTTTGGAACGAAATCAGCGCATTTCGCCTGAACGTGAATTTCATGTGTCGTATCCTTTGAATCCAAATCCTCAACGAATACTTTGAAGTCAATACTGTAGCCATTTTCGGGTTTAACAATGCTTGATTTTGCTCGCTCATCCTGGAATTTTCTTTTTTTTGTATATTTAAACCAGTTTATACTTTCAAACGTAGTAAGGCTCTAATGAAATGAAAACTGAGCTGCCCAGTAGTTGAATGAAAAGTGACCGCTACTTGAGGGAATAAATAGCGTACACACCAGATGTTAATGCGTTTATACGTTCTGCGTAGCCTTTTTCAACTAACATTTGATGTCAAGACATCCCACCGCTTTACAGTTTAATATGTGCACTATTCATCAAAATCTTTTTTTCTTTGTTATAACTTCTTGTATTGTTCAAACGCAAATAGGATGTTAGCGCCTTTCATTATTAGCGCAGTTGTGCGAATGCTGGCGTGTGATTGCGGATAACAGTCGTACTAAAAGCTGGCTTTATATCTGTGGGGCTGCAGATGAAAAACACCCTCGACTTTTCTGATTCCTGAGCTAAAAAATTTCTGCTAAAACAATCAAACTTCTCGATGCGATGCGCAGGCGTAAGTAAATTTCCGGGATCATATATGGGAAAATCTTTTCTAGCT